ATTTCATCTGCATATCTAAATTCCTTTCTTAAGATGCCATAAGTGTTTCTTTCGGTGATGTTCAGGGGATGCTGTTGTCAATGTTTACATAAACCATGAGAAGAAGTTTGCCTTTGTGGAGATGAGATCTGTTGAGGAGGCCAGTAATGCCATGGCCTTAGATGGAATTCTTTTTGAGGTATTTGGTTGTCTTCTTGAATCAATTAGGGTTGGAAGTTTGTGTGTCAGGTTTTGACTCTTANCCATGAGAAGAAGTTTGCCTTTGTGGAGATGAGATCTGTTGAGGAGGCCAGTAATGCCATGGCCTTAGATGGAATTCTTTTTGAGGTATTTGGTTGTCTTCCTGAATCAATTAGGGTTGGAAGTTTGTGTGTCAGGTTTTGACTCTTATTTTTGTGGAAACAAAAAAGGAGCATATGCATTAGAGCAATGGTTATACAAGAACGGTTTTTCATCTACTGCCATACATGGTGACAAAAATACAGATGGTTAGCCATTTTTTCTTTCTTTTTCACTCTATATTGGCAATTTTGGACTGGGGCATGAAAATCATGCACGGATGTCATTTTTCTTCTTAGGGCGTTTATGTTCCTACAATAGTCAATATTAAAGTTAAAATTATAAAACTGTNCAAAAATACAGATGGTTAGCCATTTTTTCTTTCTTTTTCACTCTATATTGGCAATTTTGGACTGGGGCATGAAAACCATGCACGGATGTCATTTTTCTTCTTAGGGTGTTTATGTTCCTACAATATTCAATATTAAAGTTAAAATTATAAAACTGTTATGTTATTTGAATAATCTCTTTTTTGACCTACGTTTATCAAAATTTATTTTCATAAACATAGTAAAATACTTAATAATTTGAACATCACAACAGCCATAGTCTCTGAGCATCCCTCGGCTTCATTCACCTCTTCTCAATAGCGGCTGGCGTACTGCCAGAGGCCCTCGCCCACCTTTCGCTTGAGTGTGAGAAGCACACTGACGTCCTTCAGCTTTTTGTNTTAATAATTTGAACATCACAACAGCCATAGTCTCTGAGCATCCCTCGGCTTCATTCATCTCTTCTCAATAGCGGCTGGCGTACTGCCAGAGGCCCTCGCCACCTTTCGCTTGAGTGTGAGAAGCACACTGACGTCCTTCAGCTTTTTGTCACTAGTGATGAACCAAGCCGTGAATTGTTCAATCATTTGCCTCATGACCAAATGCTATTCGGAGTGAGGCTCTCATACCACTTCATGACAGTATCTCCCAGGCTCATGAAGAATTCTTGGCATAACAATTTGANTAGTGATGAACCAAGCCGTGAATTGTTCAATCATTTGCCTCATGACCAAATGCTATTTGGAGTGAGGCTCTCATACCACTTCATGACAGTATCTCCCAGGCTCATGAAGAATTCTTGGCATAACAATTTGAGGTCAGTGGTGTAGATTGACAATAGTTGTTTATACTGTCGAAGATGACTCTCTGGATCCGTTAGCCCATCCATCGTACACCTTGAAGAGGGGTACAGTAAACTTCTTTGGCATTCAAACTTCTCTTATCAGGAACTTTTGGGGTCTAATTAATATTCAAATTTCAGGACTAAATTTTTAATGGAAGATAATTTCTTTTTCTATCGTGTAATTGTTAAGGTCATAGCTTTTAAATGCTCCATAAGCACTTATGGAGTCTTTTTGTACTATTCTTTGGTGCCCTTCCTTTTAACAATCCGCTCTAAGTTGTGTCCAAAGCATCTCTCTCTATGATGATATAATCAACTTCAAGTGTAGGCTAAGCTTTGTTAGCTTTATAGTTGTCTCTTTTATCGTTATAATTCTTTGGATATATTTTTTTATCTTGAATTTCATTGATCCTTCTTTGGAATACTTGATGTGCATTCTTTAATCCAAAACACATAACTATGACATTCGTATTGTCCTTGTGGATTGCTAAAGGTTTTATTATAATACAATACACTGTCATGCAAGGTCCTGGAANTGGATATATTTTTTTATCTTGAATTTCATTGATCCTTCTTTGGAATACTTGATGTGCATTCTTTAATCCAAAACACATAACTATGACATTCGTATTGTCCTTGTGGAGTGCTAAAGGTTTTATTATAATACAATACACTGTCATGCAAGGTCCTGGAAGCTCTATTGTTATTATTTGTAGAGTCGATTGCAAGGGAGAAGCAAGTTGGTTTCTTTGTTGTTGCTATGGAGGAGAAAACTATCGTGGCCAATTAATTGAGTCTTGAACCTTAGAAAACTATGCTGCAGGATTCTCTTCCACCTGATTTATTGCTGCAGTTTCCTTAGTTGACTTCGGCAGTCTTTGGGAATTGCAGTTGCATCATCAGCTGGACTCTTCCAGCTTGACTATCAGGAAGCTTTCTCTTTATTTGGCCCGTAAACACAATGCAACAGTTTTTGGTCTGAAGTGCACTGTTCATGTGCTNACTATGCTGCAGGATTCTCTTCCACCTGATTTATTGCTGCAGTTTCCTTAGTTGACTTCGGCAGTCTTTGGGAATTGCAGTTGCATCATCAGCTGGACTCTTCCAGCTTGACTATCAGGAAGCTTTCTCTTTATTTGGCCCGCAAACACAATGCAACAGATTTTGGTCTGAAGTGCACTGTTCATGTGCATTTTCAGCTGCTGTTGCAATTTGATTCCTTCATCAGCTGGACCCCTTCGGCAGTTATGATTTTTCATTTGTTTTTCAAATTCAGCAGCTCTTAGGTAGATTTTCTCAACTGGAGTCTGCTACTACAGTTGGAGCTTCCTATTTCAGCTGGAATCTTTCTACAACTAGACTCTTACTTTAGCTGGACTTCTGTTTCAGTTGTACTTTATATTTACAAATCAATTTGCTAAAAACCAGCTTCATGGTGAGGTAATAGAGCACTTTCATAGTTGTTTGACTTAATTTTCCTTTTACTATAGGAGCCTCACTTACTGCAACGTGGTTTTGGAGATATTTTTTGCATATCCACTCATTATGGTGAATCACCTTTGAGCTATAAACATGCTAAGGTTTTGCCTCAATTAGAGTATTTGCATATATTGTTTGCATATGGACTTAAAATATCTTTCTTTGGTAGGCTTCCCCTGTTGGCTAAACAGTCTTGTGTGCAAGTTTTACATGTGTCCTACTAGAATATTTGATTGCTAGGCAGTATTTGCATATATTGATGCCTATGGACTTAAAACGCTTGTTTCTCTTGACCTGGGAAACAACTTTTTTTTGGGTAAGCTATTGTGAATTAATTAACCCAATGCTGGAATTCCATGGAGCAATTTAGAAATAAGTGATTTCTAGAATATTTGATTGCTAGGCAGTGATGCATTTTTTTTTTCTTTCTCTTCTTAATGAATTAAATATTCCGTGCGACACTCTTACCATGTTGCTTGTGTTCTATAAAATTCATTTATCCCAATTGCTGCACAAACAGGAAGCTTTTCTGTTAAACTAAATGGAAGTTGCACTTTTTTCACCCCAACTCTTTCTTGGCCCATATTTTTGTATATTCATTCTTATATTATATTCCTTTTACCACCATTATCTTGACATATTTGATTTCCTTCTGAGCAGAAAAAACTTATATGATGTGTGTTTCTTTGAACTCTACAGACATTGGTTCAATATCAGTTGCCAATGGTGATTATAGTGTTTAACAATAGTGGTGTATATGGTGGTGACTGGAGGAACCCTGGAGAAATTACAGGACCTTACAAGGATGATCCTGCACCGACTTCTTTTCTCCCTGGTGCTGGATATCATCTTCTAATTGAAGCTTTTGGGGGAAGGAGTTATCTTGTTGGGACACCTGATGAACTCAAATCGGCGCTTTCTGAAGCTTTTTCTACACGAAAGACTGATGTCATAAACATTACAATTGATCCATATGCTGGTGCAGAAAGTGGGAGGATGCAGCATAAAAATTGAGGCAAGCTGTAGCATCTTTAATTTTTGGTTGCTTATGCTTCTTTGTTTGAGTGTGTACTCTGTTTGCTTTTTCTAGATGTTGTCTTTTGTGACGCCTTTTGGTTGGGTGAATCTAAACCTGTATTATCATGTGTAATTTATAAAGCTATAGTTATGGTTGTTGCTAGCATGTAGACAAGACACACACTCATAACCAATACCTTTTGTTTTTCAACTTTTGCTTATTTTTGCAGTTTGGTTGGTGAATGGAAATTGAAAGTTCTGCATCAAAATGGAGATTGAGGCGTTTGTCATATTTTTTTTTTTGTGGCAGAGTTAGTTGTTAATAACCTTCCTGTGCACCTTAACATCTGCAATTACATGTTTTTTAGTTTATAATCTGAAATTACACGTTGAGATTGCTTCAATAGCAGCCTAAATAAGTGTGTGCATAACTAGCGATGAGTATGTGGATTAGTATTATTCCTCTCTTTTTCTCTCTCTCTGTGTTTCACTCCCCCCCCCCCCAAAAAAACACACACCCCCCTGAATGCACAAAAGAATCTTTGATCTTTATATATGTAAATTGATTTGAAGTAAGCTTCTTAATTGGATGAGTTTATGAGCTATGGTATGTGGGATTGAGTATTTTTGCTAAGTGTCAGTGTGTTTCTAGGTTTCAGTACATTTGTTACTAATTATAGAGAGCTTCTTTAAATCATCCAGTGAGATGAGATATGGTGATTTTTTGTTAAATTTTTTTGTGCTGAGTTTCCATTTGTTTATTTTATCATTTTGTAGCCTATCCCTAATCAGAAAATCCACTGGAGATCTATGGAAGGTCTCCCTAACAGGTAAAAAATTGTTTGATAGATACACATAACATGAATAAACAAGGACAAACTGGTTGTGTTAACTGCTTAACTTTGTTAGGATCAGTTGTTGTATTAGATAGGCTTTTTTTAGGCATAACTCCCTCAGCCTTTTAATTGGTTATAGCAGCTGGAACAGTCACTGTTCACGTGACTGTTCAGCTATTGCAACAGTCCGATTCAGCTCACCATTGGAACCTCCTACCTACTGCTTTCATCTTTTTCGGTGTAGTTAGGCAAGCAAGTATTTTTCGGTGCAATCCATGAAACATTAGGTTTTAAAATAGAGACATAACTTATTATTTTAGGGCCTTGAATGATATCTATTACTGTCGAACAAAGGTCATGTATATTTTAATTCCATTTCTAAATGTAATTGATTCATCAAAACAAATAAGCAACTTATTTAGCACAAGCACATAACTTGTTAGAAAAAAGAAAGCTAGTACAAACATCCATGGTGATGATGGCAGAGCACCGCAATGTTGAATTTGAATAACCATAATCTATTAAGGAGCCATAGTCACACAATATTTACACTGGTATGTGAGTAAACTTTATGTTCTGATTTTTATCATTCATGATTAATACTAGTACTTGAGCAGGAGCTATTTGAGTAGGTTTATTTGGCTTTGCCTATTTGAAGGATTAAAGCCAACTTTGCTAGGTGGATAATACTTCTGAGATGGTGTATTTGAATGCATTGGTGTATTCTGCCTGCACTGGTTTGTAGGCTGTATTCTGGTTGAGCAGAAAGAAGTGGATGGCTGTATTCTGGTTGTGGACAAAAATCATTTTTTCTATTTTTAGAATTTCTTGTAATTTGATTATTGTAATTCATTCTTTTTGGAAATGAAATTTTATTTGTTTAAAAAAAGATGTGCAATGTATTAATTGTGTTGGTTTTTTATTGAACACAACCATTACTGGTGTACAGGTGAAAAATTTTATTGGAATATCATTTTTGATGTAAAATAAAAAAAAAATGAATTTTTTTGTGACAAAATAAATATCGTCGCAAAAAATTGCAAGAACAAGCTTTCTTGCGACAATAATTTTACGTCACGAAAAGCTAATTAAATTATTATTTTAAACATTTTTTATTTATGAAACAATTATTCGCGACGATTTTTTTACGTCGCTAAAAGTTAATTCAATTATTATTTTTTACATTTTTGATTTATGAAAAAAATTATTCACGACGATTTGTTTACGTCACGAAAAATGAATTAAATTNCAAATGCAAACACAAATCAAAAAGTCTCCATGCCTATACTTTCAGCTAGACTGTTGAGCTCCATGCTTGGACTTTCAACACTCAAGGCTAATCATTGTCCTTTCCCCTTGGCCTATAAATACTACCCTTTCCTTCACTTAGAGGAGTGAACCTCTCTCACCTTTCTAGCTCTCCNTTATTATTGTTAACATTTTTTATTTATGTAAAAAATTATGCGCGACGATACTGTTTATGTCGTGAAAAGTTAATTAAATTATTATTTTTTAAATTTTTTATTTATTTAAAAAATTATTTGCTACGAATTTTTTACGTCGCAAAAACGTTAATTAAATTATTATTTTTTACTTTCTTATGCTCGAGGAATGGATATTAGCTAGGTTTTTGTTACTTTTCGCGACGTTTTTTTTTTCGTCGCGAATAATGTTTGTTTGCGACGAAATTTTTTTTTTTTTCGTAAAATGCTTTATGCGACGAGGATATTGTGATGAACACGCGACGAAAAAAAAAGTCGCAAAAAATAATTGGCGACGATTTTTTTTAATTTAGCGACGAAAAAAATCNATGCTCGAGGAATGGATATTAGCTAGGTTTTTGTTACTTTTCGCGACGTTTTTTTTTCGTCGCGAATAATGTTTGTTTGTGACGAAATTTTTTTTTTTTCGTAAAATGCTTTCTGCGACGAGGATATTGTGATGAACACATGACGAAAAAAAAAAGTTGCAAAAAATAATTGGCGACGATTTTTTTTAATTTAGCGACGAAAAAAATTGTCCCAAAAAATGATTTTTGTTGTAGTGGAGGCCTTTGAGAAGTTAGGTATTGTCAAGGAGAAGCTTGAGCCAATAAAAACATACCTGCTCAAGTTTTTCAACGAAAAGGTCTTTCCCTTGGGCTCAATTCAACTTGTACTCACTATGGGGGAACCCTCCATGTCAAACCACTGCAATCGTGAAATTCCTCATCATGGATGCACCTTCTACCTACAACGTTATCCTAGGGAGACCATCCCTAATCTCAATAAAGGCCATTCCCTCCACCTACCATCTTGTGATGAAGTTTCCAACTAAAAATGAGATAGAAGTTGTAAGAGGGGATCAGTGGATGGCTATGGAGTGCTACATGTCATCTATAAAGTAGAAGGAGATTGAATTTATACATGTAGACGATCTGGACAAAAAAAGACAAGATGGATACAATACCAACTCCCTCAGAAGCACTAGAACCCATACAAGTGCACGAGGACACATAAAACCTAATCTTTGTGGGATCCAAACTATTGGATGAAGTCAAACAAAAGCTCATAGCATTTTTAAGAAGCCGAGTCGTTAGAGTCGTATCTGAGTGAATCCCGATTCGCCGAAATAACGTTATTGAATTGAGAAATACAGTTCCACGATGTCGCTATATGACCTAAATTTCTTGTCATTATCAACATTTTATTTTAGGTTGTATTGTCCGATTCCACGCCGCGATCGATATGTCTCAGAGCTGATGGCTGATACCGCAACCTTAAACCATGTGTGCAAGGGATCGACCTCAAGGTGATCATCTGCAAGCTTAGTGTGGACCTAAGTGATTCCCTATTAAAAAAGTACCTTTCATCATGCATTTGTGGGGATAATTACACCATAATTGTGTTTAAATAGCATAATCTAATGGTAAATAATGTGTAGGGGTTATACAAGCATGATGTCATGTATCCAGGAATTAAAACGAAGACTTAGAGACAGTGGGACCAAGCATTGATAGAGGAAAGAGTGGACTTTGGGTCCATGTTTGAACACCAATTCACATTTAAACACAACTACAAAATCAGACAAAATCCCCAAAAATGGCTGCTAAGCTGTAGGAGCATAAATGTTGGAACATAGGAGTATCAAGGCTACAATTATTTCCACGTTTGAAAGCCAGGTTCACATTCAAATGCAAACACAAATCAAAAAGTCTCCATGCCTATACTTTCAGCTAGACTGTTGAGCTCCATGCTTGGACTTTCAAGGCTAATCATTGTCCTTTCCCCTTGGCCTATAAATACTACCCTCTCCTTCACTTAGAGGAGTGAACCTCTCTCACCTTTCTAGCTCTCTTATGACTTTGAAGGGTGGGTAGTGTTTCACTCATTCTTTGTTGAAGAAAAGTATTTTGCTTCTCGTAATTCTAAGTTCCTCTACTTAGAGGGGTGAGATTCACTCACTTTTCTAACTTCCTCAAAGTCATGAAGAATGAGTAGTTTCTCATTCACTTCAGCAAGAGATGATGAATAAGTAAATTATTCTTATGATCCACTACAAAGATATCGGAGCTATACTCTTAATTTACAAATTCAATCTATACCCTCAAATTGTAAATTTAAGGATATGAACATGTAAATTATTGACGCAGGAGTTAATTGAGTAATAATCATTGCACAAATATAGCACCTAAACACATATGGACATGTCCGGATCCTCGAACTAAAGAATGACTCTTATTTCCATTTGAGAGAATATTATATTTTGTCTAAAAAATATCATCATCACCACAACTTTCAAACTTCAATGATTTCATTTATCGTTGTCTCTATTGATCATAACTTCAAACAACAACATAAGTTCCCTATGGATTTGACTCCGAAATCAACTGGATTATATCGACAACTTGACCGCTTGCATTTGGGTATAAACATTTTAGATCAAGCCAAATTTCTGGCTCCGTTGCCAGGGAACCAATGGTATTTTGAAGTAAAAAGTGAAGAGACATTATATTCTTTGTATGTACTTTTATTTTTCTACCTTTTTATGTGTGAGGAAGACCCTCTCTTTCAAGATTTGCTAGAAGAATCTGTCGGGTATGTGAATCAATCTGAACCTTCTTCACCTCAATCAGTCACAAACTCCTTTGATTATAGTCTGGCCAATAATCAGAGAAAAGAT